TACGGATTTTCAACACCAACGTCAAGTCAGTGCTCTTGTATGGCTCAGAGACTTGGCGCGTCACGAAAGGTATTTCCAATAAACTACAGACATTCATCAACAACTGCTTACGCTCGCTGCTGAAGATCAGATGGCCAGAAAAAATAAGCAACAAGGAACTCTGGGAACGAACCAACCAAGAACCTATCACGCAACAAATATGCAGGAAGAAGTGGAGATGGATTGGCCATGCACTGAGAAGGCCGACTGAGGACATCACGCGTCAGGCCCTCGAGTGGAATCCCCATGGGAAGCGACGAGTTGGACGTCCAAGGGTGACATGGAGGAGGTCGTGCGAGCAGGAAATGAGAGCTTCTGGGCTGTCGTGGGACCAGGTTCAAAAGATCTCAGAGAACAGAGGTCACTGGAGGCGTGCTACTGAAGCCCTATGTTCCACTAGGAACCCAAGGGACTAATAATAATAATAATAATACAGGCCATCTGATTGACTTCGACTATGCAGACCATATTGGCCTGTCTATTAAATGAAGACAGTGATGAAATGCAGGGTCATCTGAATGCATCGAGAAGAAATCTGAGCATATTTGACAGGCGTTTCACTGCCACCTGTCAAATGTAAGATGATACTCCACGGCTAATCTTGCAACACTCCAAATTCAGTGTTAACCACTTCACTTACTTCGGGAGTTGTATCAGCCTGAATGGACTGGTTCCTGACAAAATCTCATCTCGCATACAGAAGGTTCGTTTAGCACTTGCCAACTCGGGTCATCTGTGGCGCCGACTGGATAACTATCCAATTACCTGTTAAGCGACGAGCATACTGCACTCCAGTTCATTCTCTCCTGTTATACGACTATGAGACATGGACGTTGAAAGTAAAACAGATGATGTGGTTGCAGGGTTTTGATCATGGGTGTGTTTTTAGTATTGTTCGTGTTTGGTAGAATCACCACGTGAGTAGTGTTGAGGTCAGGTGGAAGGTAGTAGGCAATGAAGGGAAGTCGACTGATGAGGTTGCGAACGTTAGTCGACTGATATGGTTTGGACATGTAATGCGCCTAACTTGACGTGCTATATCAGTGGAAGTTGGATTACGATAGAAAGGGGTTAAGGGTGGTCAGACCAAGACGTAAAATCAGTCGATAAACCCTTTGACTGTTGGCATGAGCTGTGTGGAGAGATGTAAACTGCCTGGGTGGGGTCCCCGTGAAGAAAGGAATCAGCGGTTGAGGACTTTTTGGTAACATGTCTAGAAATCGGTCATCGTGGCGGAGATGTATTCACTCTTTGAAATCCTCTAAAGCTTGAATATTCAAATCTTTTAATCTCTCACACTACTCTATCTTCTTTGATATCAATCTTTTTCTATCCACCTGTTCTTTGTGCACTACTGTAAAGTGTGGTAACTTCAATCTATGCACCTGTGTTTTTTTCATATTCATTCACCCAGTTCGTGTCTTCAATTACATCATATTAGTGCTATCTTCATTTCAAGTTGGTAATTTGTTCACAAATTGATTCAGTTATGAAATCATTTTGTATAAGAAGGTGATGGGAAACCTTAAAGTGAAATAGGTTCATGATATTCTGTTGAAATTGTTGTTCTCGATCTACTTAAAAAAAATCTATTCAAGGAGATTAAGCCAACAATAAAGTGGAACATCTTGACGGGAAGTATAAATAAATATCATGAGAGATGAGGAACAGTCATTATACACCGTACAATGATCTGAATAGTATTTTGGCTAAGGAACGATAAAGACATTCATTCGCTAAATGTTTTAAAGCTGAATCCCTCTTTCACTTCAGAAGATATCATGATGCTAAGAACTTGGTTGAAGTTAGAGGTATGTACTGATAGCTATCAGCTAGTATGACTGGCATATTGCTTTATTCATTCACCGGCTACTACACTTTTCTCCTCATTCATTGTAGTCCCTATCAATTAATCAAAAGGAATCATTTAGGACAGTAATCAACCATCTATATCCACTGGGTGATGTGAATTGGTTACTCTTTAACATACTTGACAACTCTTATTTTAGTCATCTAAAACTTGGATAGTGTGAAATTTTGACAAGATATTTTTTGATCTAAGTAGAAATTATCTTTGTAGTAGTTATAGTTCAATGAAGAAGTTGAAAAGTTACCCACCATTGTAATCTACATCTTCCCTTCAATTCAGTTTTAACTAATATCTCATACACCTAATCATTTTGTTGAATTTCATCAAAGTGCATTTGGAATGATGATTAGGTAGTTACTCATTAATTCATACATTCAGATTTACGTATAATTCAGTGGCTTTTCAAGAGGTGATCAATTTGAAGATATTTTTCATCATTTATTATCATCATCAAGAGAAATGTGGTTCATCAGGAAGTTTTCTTGGTTTATTTCATACCTCTTCCAAAGAATCTTCCTTTTAAAAGTCGTAATAATTCTTTTGGCAGAGATAGATATCACTCCTTACTGCTCATTTATATCTAGATAACATTCCATTTGGACTTCAGGAATTTCATCTATTATGTTTCAAGTTGTTATTCATCGTAAACTGATATCAGTTGGAGGAACAAAGGAAACCTAGGAGCACTGGACAACTGTTTCGTCCTAGTATAGGACTCTTCAGGAGTGCACACCCAAGACCCCGCCAGGGAGTCCTATACTAGGACGAAACAGCTGTCCAGTGCTCCCAGGTTTCCTTTGTTCCTCCAATTGATATCAGTCTACGATGACTAACAATTTGAAATGTTTCCAAATCTCCACAACTCCTTCGAAATTCATCTATGATGATTAAAGTTGAAATGAACACTGAGGTCATGACAGGATTTTAAACTGGACGCCTCCGGGTTATCAGCCTGACCATCCGCTGAGTAAGCTAAGACAGGCAACCACTGATCAATTTCTAACTTCATTTCAATCAGTGAGGGTCATGTGAATCCTTATAGTTATACTGGTTGGTCAGGAATATTTTCTCATCTCAATCCAAATTCTCTGCTGTTTATCATAAAATATGCTATAAAAAGTGATACTGGAGATCGAAATGGATTTGTATTCATCAACTCTCTTAGTGTAATTATGTAAGTTTTTATTTGCTCATTCATTTCTGACATTCCATACTGCGCTAAACCAGTGGATATCAATTCAACTAGAACTGTAATCATAGTTTTATTATTTATGACCAATTGTTAGCAAGATTTATAAACAACTATAAGGGATTTTACATTAGTGAACAAAAAACACCATACTTTCAATTTTTAATAATAAATTAATGTGATTGGATATCATTCATGTGTTTAAATTGGGTAAGGTAAGATTTGTAGGCACAGAGCTAAATAATAAAACTTTGAGTTTCAGAGGTTTATTGGGAAGTAGATATTCTTTAAGACTGCATAACGAATCCTGGTTATCCAAAGAATCCTTAACCTACAATTCTTTTTATTTAGAGTGCAGCTGAATAGATCTGCATTCTGCATGTTATTCCTAATGAGACTCGAGACCAATATCTATCATTTCAAGTGTCAGTAAGTTATCAATTAAGCTACTTAGTTGCGATAATCAGTCGTTATCCTTCACTATCAATAGGAAATATATAGGCACCTAGCTAAAGAAACCTATATTTTATTGGTAGTTGATAAATTCGATTTAAAAGGATCAACAACGAGAAATTTAATTCTAAGGTTTCCTTTCAACTGTTTTCATTCATGTTGAACAAAGAAGAGAATAGGCGTAAAGTCAGAACTCGGAGATAAGCGTTAGTATTGCAAGTAATGAACTTCAATGTAACTGCAGTTACCAGTCAACAGCAAAATTCTTAATTCATTCACATGTGTAGACCTGTATCAGAACTAACTATCAGTGGTTCTTAAGATGAACATTAGGAACCACGTGCAGATGTATACATAATGCAACCACTTACACTTAATGTGTGATGGATAGAGTACTACGGGGTTTCCGAAGTCATAGTGTAGTGGGGGTTGCTGATAAGAATGGTAATAAGTAGTATATTTTGAGAGGGTGGTAGAAATCATAGGGAATTACCAGCAGTGGGTAAGAATTCCGCCAAACAGAAACGCAAGAGGCAAGGCAGGCGTGTGAAGAACAAATCAAGGAAGAGGCAGAAGAGGAAATGAAGCACATTTTGCAAATGACGGTTTTAGTGAAAGGTGTGCCACATTTAACGACTACTGTCCCATACGTTGGCATTAACCATTCCTCCCTGCATACCCGTCTTATGCTTCTTTCGACTGGTGTTGCTGCTTTTGGACGTGATGAGGATACAGTGACCTGCAGAGTTCGAGAACGGAGACGTCAAGGTCTTTCTCAGGGACTTCGAGTCGGTCGCGGAGCCGGTGGGTGTACGAGATCCAAGAGCGAGGCTTATGATGCGTGGTACGTTGCTGAGAGGTCGAACAAAAGCAGTATATGATAACGTAGAACGCATGGACAGGAAGGAGATTTGGCAGAGAATGGTTCGACGACTGGAGGCGGAGTTCGACAGCCCGGCGGACAGGGAGCTGACGATACAGCAGTTCGGGAGCAAGAAACTTGCAATAGACGAAGATCCGCTGGTATTGGCTGTCAAGTTGACTAAACTATTTCGACGAACACTTCCCACGTTGGATGAGGAGTCGCAGAAGCAGTTGCTGGCTGCATAGTTCACCGAAAGTGTCCCGAACATCATCGCCCAGCCAACGTGGAATCCTTACCCATTGCTGGTAATTCCTTATGATTTCTGCCACCCTCTCAACATATACTACTTATATCCATTCTTATCAGCAACGCCCACTACAATAGTAGGCGAAGTTTGGTTCAAACTTACCAACCATAGGTTGAGAGTGGAATACTTAATCAAATCTACCATAATATTTGCATACTTTTAGATATCGAGATTTAACTTGATAAATTCTCTCTTTTCTATTTGTTAAAACATGCTATCTGCAAAATTTTTTTATCAATACTATGTTTCTATTTGTTTTTATCATAAAAACCTACAGGCACCACACCCTTTTGATCTTCATGATATAATCAATTCAGAGACTGGTGACTTATTGACTGCTGAGCAGTTAGTTGATCGACAAATCGCTTTTTTAGTGTCTGCAAATCATATACAATCAATAGAGGAGTTAAATCTTCACGGATATAACTATGTACACTTGGCTAATTCTGGACCTCCAAAATACAGATATGCAAGAGTCATTGCTGTACAGAAAGAGTACAATGAAATGATAACACTTCTAGATATATTTGATCAATATCGATTAGAAATGAGTGAAGTACACAAAACTATTCTAATTGGAGATTATCATCACTTCCTTCGACTAGTGAATAATAAAAAAGTAATAATGAGTAAGTGAAATTACCTTTGCAAAAAAAGAATCATTTTTGAGTGAGTTCCAGTTAAGATAAAAAGTTGTCGAGTAAATTATTCAGGTGATACAACTAACAGAGAGGGTTAGTAATGGATTTTGAAAGAGTTTTTTTCGTTGAAAAACAACACCCATCAGCAAAATACCTCAAATGTATACGCATGTGTTGTCTCAGCCAGCTCGTTGGTTATATCACGAGGTTGGTGGATAGATTTCAGTCAGCTGTTATCATTTGTTGTCTACTTTAAACTTCATTTGCTAATCAAGGATATAAATGGTTCAATACAACCTCAAGTGTCAGTCATAGCGAGGTTAGTTTAGTAACATAGCTATTGACAGTAATAATGAGTGTCATATGACTTGATTTTCACGAGATAATGAGTTTCCCTCAATGATGTAGATACATCTTGCTGATAAGTTCCAACGAACACCTACCAGCTCAAACCATTCAACACCATATCTGACATTACTGCTCAGTGATTAGAAAATTTAAAGACGAAGATGCGTGTAGGCATTATTCAAGTTTATTGGAATGCATCAACATAACGTGAATTCTATGTCAGCTTGACTCATAACTTCATTAAGGTTTAACGTTATTTAGCCTACCGTTGCAGCTTAAAACATAACAATAGGTTTGTTAAAACCATAACTGATCCTATTTCAAATCCAATCTAGTATATAAATCAACTGATTGAAGTTAAGACGTGGTTGGAGCGAAGAAAACATTTTCCTTTCGACGAAGTCATTCACTAAACTATACATTCATGAGTATAGGTTACAATGGGCAGAATGTTCAAGCAATATTTCCGGTCAGGGGGTAAAATATACTGAATAATTAAAGGAACTTAATCAAAACAAATTTTGGTTTAGAGTGGGAAAATACACAAGGGATTATGAAAACATATGTAGTGTTACCTAATACAGGATGGATCTATGAAAGTCGAAGACTTATGATGGCCATGAAAAAGATAAAGGTTGAACGAACCTTTTAAGGACACTGGTTTAAGGACGCTAGTTTAAACTTCTGGATGGCTAGTGCTTCAGCTGTAGACAAATGCCTTGATCTCACTCCCTTCTAGTGGTCTGATCGAATCCCATAGAGGATTTTAAATGAACTCCCAAAAGGAGCTAAGTGGCCTGAGTTCATAAGGTGTTCTATTATTGAACCGAAAATACATTTCCGTTCTCCCTTTGCCAGCCAGGCTGGGCAGCGTTCGCGGGCACTTTTTACAAGTGGACACATGGTATACTCCACAAGAGCAAGCAAACTGGAATACACAAACTTATGTGGCCCAATGCGTCGGCTTGTCTTTCACACATTGATCAAAACGTTTCATGAAGGAGAAAATAATTAGAAGTTTAGTGGCAAATTATGTTCTACTTAAGGATTCTGACAGTTGTTTCCTCAGGATCTCTGCAGCAATATCATTTTTGAGTTCAAGACTCAACAAAAGAATCTTTTTCAGCTCCAAATATCTTTGTTCAGTTGGATTATTTAGCTTTATGTTCTCATCTATGAATCTGAGCGAGAAACCGTTTTCAGCTAAAGTTCGTCGAAGTATTTTTGAGTTCTGTGTCAACAGTGTCCTCGGCATATATTTTCCTGATCCCCGTGGAAAGTGAATGGATAAGATTTCTCTTCCTGCATAGAGCGACTGAAATTTGAAGATTAATAAACTGTCCGTTCCGCGTAGGCTTTCTGTATATCAGTCTACGAAGTGAATAATCGTCTTTTCTTTGGAGTTGAACATCAAGAAAATGACTCGTTAAGTTTAATTCTGATTCCAGAGTGAATTTGATTGAAGAGTGAGCGTTGTTAAAAGTATGAAGCAGGTTTGGAAGATTCATATTTTCACCAAAAACTATAAAGGCATCATCAATGTATCTTTTGTAGGCATGAAGTTCATTAATTGTTGATGATAAGTCGGGTTTTTCCAGGCTTGTAATGAAGCAATCAGTTAGGAGAGGTCCTAGTTGAGAACCCAGTGCCACACCATCTATAACCTTGTAGACTTCATTATTAAGTCTGAAGTGTATATTGAAGGTACACCAAAGGAGAAGCCCTTCTTGGTAGTGAGTTGGAATACCAACATTTATGTTATGATACCGAATGAACTCAAATAGGAAGTAGATAGTTTCTGTTAGTGGGATATTTGTGAAGGGGGACACGATATCAATGAAATCATTATTTTACCTGTCAAATTGACTTTCTTTATTAAATGTGTCACGGAGACTGTGGTTCAATAGCCTCTTCTTTACAGGTTCAAGTATTTTCGCAAGCCATTTCGCAATTAAATAATATAGAGAATTTGTCATATCTAGTATTGGACGGAGTGGAATACCTTCTTTGTGTATTCTGAGAAAATCGTATAAACGGGAGATCTTAGAACCCGATGAGCGAAGTTGTTCATTTAATTCTTTGCTAATGAATGATTCATCCCTCCTTTTCTTCGATATTTTCAACAATTTCAGTTCTGTTCTCTCAATAGGATCTTTCTGTGTAGTCTGTTTATTTTCATCGGATAAAATGAGTGAAAGTTTTTTCAAATAGCCTGCTTTGTTTACTAGTACTATTCCAGAGCCTTTGTCTAAACGCATCATGACCAAATTTTCATTTTTATTTTGTTTCTTTTATTGATTTGAAATGATTAGCGTCATTCTATGAAACCGAAACTAGATCTTTGGTTTGACTAATTAGATTTTCGAACCAGACTTTTGTATGGAGCTCAGCGACATTTGAAGTCGCATAACAGAACTTAGGTCCGAGTGATAAAATTGGCATTTGAATTGGAGATGGTAATATATTTGAAAAGTTGAATACATATTTTTCAAGACACGAAGGAAAGGTGGTTCCTTTAGTTACAGACTTTAAGCTTTTACATAGCTTCAGGTTGATGTCATCAGTTCGCCTCTTAGTAACAGTAGCAAAGTAGTTTTCAAATTCCGTTCTCTCCTTTGTGGATAATTTGAAAAGAAAGTGTGATTTTTGTGACAGATTATGTTCAAGCTGAGGTAATCGGGGACGGATAGGGTCAATATATTTGAGTGTGTTGCTTCAAGGTAGGCGACTTAGGAGAAATGTGGTTCCATCTGACATCCTTCAAAAACACTTTGCGATACTCATATTTCTTCCAAAAGTAGGTTTTCTCATTCGCCTCAGCAAGTTTGATGGAAAAAAGCAGAAACTTGTCCAGCTCTTTTACCGTCCCACGGTCCTCGCTACTCTCTAAACAGCGGAACACACCCCTTTGATCATAGGAAAAGATAAGACGCGGTTGTAGCAATGAAGTCATTTACTAAGCTACACATTCATGATTGAAGTTACCATTTTATGCACGTCGTTTGACGTCAAAATCCACTCACCTTGAATAATCAAAATTCAAATGCAGTATATCTGGCTGCCAAATCATTTAAACCGATAACATCCTGTATTTGTAAGTCGATAGATTCCCGTGGTCTCCAGAGACTAAGACATAAGATCGATGACTGTCTGAAAAACCTTATTTTCACCGAATTTTCATTGCAGTAACATATTTCATGTATTCTCACTCACTTTATGATAACAATGAACAAACATAGATTATATTAAATTGAATGGTAAATTGAGGAACTGCACTGTCGACATTATCATTTCACAGTTGTATAGTCTTTCGACTGTTCAACTGTGATGTCAAAAAGGTTTGCCTTCGAAACCATTCACGTAAGATCAGAAAAGTGTGATGGCTAGCAAAAATGTATGGTTAATTAATGAATATATAAAAAACAATCACATTAGTCTGTTAATTTCGCTAACTAGTGACCGTATAATTTGCTTACAACTACGCTCATCAGCCATGTATTTAGACCAACTCACTTCAAATAGCTGAATTTTTTTCAAACCAAGGAAGCTTGGCTTAATCTATGCAATGAAATACTATCTGCTGTATAAGTGGTGTGTTCGAAAGCGGTTGCTTTACTCTTGTCTATACTGGCATATTTTAAAGGTTAGTTTCCTATGTATATTTTTATCAACGGATCTTTCTGGAGGTATATTTAAAATGAATATCGATTTCAGGAGTCTTGAACATTCTTTTACTGTGTTAAATCTTCCTAATTCAAGATGTAAGCAAATGTAATCACATTCTTTTCATACTAATAAGAATTGCGGTACACATTCTATGTAGATTTTCAACAGATGGAACTTCTAATGGATCCATCTACTATTCTTATTAGCTCTAATTAAATTTACCTATTAGATATTAGAATCCATAAAAATATGTAAATTGTCATCAAAAAACCATAGATTTTGTCCATTTTTGTGCTAAATTTACCCTTATAGTAAACAAAGAATAAAGGCGGCAAAATGGTATTCTTCTAAAAATTTCATCCCAAAAATTTGATCTATTTGACTCATGCATTTCAAACAGTTTGATCAAACACTTACTTGTTAAGGCATTTCGTATGAAAGCTCGAAGTAAGAGAATGGTATCTACCCCTAATTTTGTAAAGCTTTTCCTTACTGTTTTGCCTATGACCTTAAAATAACCTACATGGCTGTTCTCACAACCTTACTAGTTTTTCTTCCCTCTCATCTCAAGGCTGAATTTTCATTGGTTGTTAACCATATGTGCATTTAGTGTTACCAAGGTCATTTATAGTTGTATATATTCAGCACCACTGTCGACTGTATTGACTGATGTTGAGACAGTAGGAAACTCTGTCAACGGTCTGTCTTTTCTTTTTGTCTTCGCGTGTCGGTGATATTATTGTTGTTGTGTTGATGGTTGACGAATCAGTTTTACGTTACAGTCGATTTGCTGCGCGTAAGGTTCGACTCATTCGAAGTCTGCTAGGCTGACAGTGTTAGTTCTTACTACCGGTCATACCAGCGAAGGACAAATATGATAGAAAGGAGTTTAATAATAAGAAACGTAAACAAGGGAGAATGCTAAGATTTGAAGAAAACCTTCGTAATATGGTAAGATAAGCATTACTAGGGTATGTTTAACGTAAAGACAAACTGTTTTCGAAAAGGGCTTAAATTTGTTGACAGTTAGAACTTCAAAAGACCAAAATATATGCCCATGACAGTTTCTGTACAAAATTGTAAAGGCTATTTTAATATCGATCCTATGACCTTTATCAATAATATATTTCCCAAGGTATAATGATGATTGTCTGATACACCTGTTCTTATCAATGTTTGTGAATCCAGCTGGTTTTGTAGGCATTTTAGTACATGTTTCACCAGTTTTGATAGAAAATGCCTTAAAAAGTAAATGTATGTTAAGACTGTTCAAAATCTATGAGGTAAATATATCTCATTTTTCAGATAAACTGCATCTTCTAAGGTGGTTATCCAAATTCACTAGAGGGACTAATTGTTTCACCTACAATTTGTTTGAAAATTAATATTCGATTGTTAACCTGAAATTATTCGAGGACAATTTTTCTATCTAGTTGATATTAATGTTGTTGCTTGTATTATTCTTTCGTTTATTGGACCGAATTAATCGGTCTATATTGCCATTTGGACTTCTGTGTGGATGCCTCGATATTGCATGTTGTGTCATTTTTATAGTAATGACTGCTAATGGTTACTAGGGGATTTCATCCTGTTTGGGACTCGTCAACCAAATGTAACTGCTCCCGTCTAGCTGTAGAGTCCCAGGAGGACGAAACGCGCGTCTTTGATTCCACTGCTAGCAACTATCCATCAGTACGATAATTTCTACTGAAACAGTCTTGTTGGGTTTGAAGTAATGAAAGTAGTTGCATTCTGTTACACTCGCTTATTCATCAACAATGATGCTTTATCTTGTAAGCTGAAGAATATTCAGATCGAAAATGGATAACATTGGTTGAGTGGAGAAATGATAGTAAATCATAAAGTTTGACTGCAGGTCAAGTTGAGTTGTCATAAACTATTCGGTCGAGTCGACGACGTGATAATACAAGCAACAAAATAATATATATATACTCGTCGCACAAGGAGTGGTTATCATGACTCATTAGTCCAGTGGATAAGGCTTTAGCGTTTGAGGCAACTAGTCCCGGTCCTAGTGGGAACAACACCACCCACTAAACGTATTCCGCGTCTTGGATTTCACTACTAGCCATCATCTACCACTAACATTTGGTTCGGATCTAAAAAGATATGAAAGCTGGGGTCTCATCGTTTATAGGAAGTAGCTCGAAATCGATTGGAGTGGCTCAGATGAATTCATACTCTATCCTTCAAAATCTCATCATGGCGTATCGTTAAATTCTTTACCTCATTCTGACTTAGGCTTCCTTTCATTGATTTATTATTACTGACTTTATTTTTCTACGCTTCATTCATTTAAGCTTTATATACTGATACAAAGTCGTTATTGTTCATCCATCGCATACTTTTCATTTTAGGTCGTGATTGGAGAGAACGCTCACTGTTACATCTTGCAGTACTTTATCGTAGGACCGATTTTGTCCTGCAATTAATTGAATTATGTCCAGAGCTTGTCAATTATCAAGACTGTCTTGGACGTACTCCACTTCATTATGCAATCTGTTTAAATGATAATCGTAGGTTATTCTTGAAAATTGTTGCAAAGTGTGGATCTGTAGATAAACACATCAAGGACTTGGTATGTTCTTGGGCTTATAATTTTGGTCATTTTTTAGAATCAAGTCTGTTCATGTTTTACTTTTTTATACTTGATTAAGTCAAAACTAATTCTTGGGTGACTTAAGACGGATTTTTCGATTTCCAAGGGATTTTTCTCAGTAATAGTAGTCAACTAACAAATCGATGTAAAGTAGTCAGCACTGTGAAGCTACATGCACTAGGCAGTGTTTCAAATCCACTGTGTAAGGAGCTACAATACTAGATATTTCCGCTGAGTCATTGGTCGATGGTGTGATTTTCAAATTCACATCCTGAAGGCTGCTTGCCTATAGCAACGTGTCAGAATTCCTCAAAAACGTCTGAACTAAAAATTATACTATTACAGAATGTTATGCACGATGAACATAAGTATTTTACAGATGAGCAGAAATTCATTCAGATCAAATATCCCAGTTGGGCTCCAGACCTTCTGAATAAATTACTCGTTCTATTAACACTGTACAACAGGTACTGAAGTGCTTCCGATACCCAATACAGCGCAGTGTAGTGTCGCGTCACTGAGCTTGATGACCACTGCAAATATGATCATCAGAATTCAGTAACTACTGAGTAACACAGACTTGATATCTACATACTATCAGTCATACAGGGAACCAGTTGTGCCGTAACTGGCTATGGGTGATGCAGATTCCGATCATCAAGGCAACATCAATTCCCTCATGGTTATAGATACATCTTACCAATGAGTGCCAACAAATACCAAGCCTATATCCAGGGTTTCCTGCCAATCGACCACCTCTCCTCCTCAATCTAGCATAAAACCAAGTTGGAGAATATGCAGAAGCGTAGTAGTTCTGTATGCTATACATCACCTTATAAACAGAATATGATATCAGGCTTTGTTCAATAAGAAAATAAAGCATAATACAATAAAACCTGAGTACAACTGTAGGTTTTCATATTATTCTGTAGATTCGTCCTTTGTAAGCGGGTTTCATCTGTCTAATTCTATTTAAAACGTCAATAATTTCAACTTCTTGTTAGATATCTTTGGAATATTTTAGCGAAATATTTCTATCAATCAATATGGTGAATATTATGAAAAAAAGATACCTGAATACATAGATCTAATTGAAGTAGAAAAGTCAAACGCTATACTTGAACCTAATTGGCCTGATCAAAAAATTTATTCACTAACAATTAATCAGTCATTAAAAACTGAATTAGAAGAGAAACAAAACGCCAATATTCAATACAAAGATAAACTTATGAATGAACAACAGGAAAAAAATTTCAACTGTTTAACATTTCCTATACCTGGTGCATTCAATGCAATTGAATTGAAGAGAATAAAATCAGCAACAAACTGGCGGCAAAGAACTTAAAACAAGGTTGTACAAGCAAATCACTCATGTTGCCAAGATTTTTAACATTATTATTCCAAAAAATCAGTATTTAAAAAATTTTTTTCCCGCCTATTGTTCTCATTTAACTTATAATAAAAGGTAAAGAATTAACAAAAAATAATACATTTACAATTGGTTTCTTGAAGCAGTGGATAGTTGTTTCGTCCTAGTATAGGACTCCTCAGCAGTATGAACTCATAACGCCATCAAGAATCGAACCTGAGTCGAAACTCAGTGGTCCACAGTTTCCTACCTCTGCCACCATGGTCTTCAGTTGGTATCCATTTCACTTCTAACCGCTTGATCTCAGCTTTTCATTAGAACTTCAGGATATCTATTTACAAGCATAGATAACACACTCACCGTGAAACCTGAGTGTCTTGATCTTGGATGCATACTTAACTGTCCATTACTTCCAGGTTATGAATAGTTCTGCAAACGATTTCAGTCTGTGATGAATACTACCTTAAAAATGAAATTCCCGTTAACCTCAATTCATATAACAAAAGACGGTGGGAGCGGCTTTGTTGGACCATTTAGTCGATATACAATCCGTGAGTTATAGGCTAAAATACCACATAACCTAGAGAGGTTGAGAGCAGCTCTGATGTATAATGAGCATGACCAGATACGTAGATGACAAACTGATATGCTGATTTTGGACCACATCATATGAAGATTAGGCAATAATGTTTACTGGGCAGATCCAAGTGCCTCCATCATACAGTTAGGTTACTTTCCTGACCTGTAGTTCACTTCCTGAACTCAATTAATTAATCTCCAGTGCATGTCAATATGCTTATTTTGTTCAGTATTCATTCTTGATATTCTATAATGGATGGTGGTGAAATCTTGCAGGTGCATTTCTCACCTTGTGAGGAGTTATCACTTCAGGATATCTCATGGTGGTTTTCATTAGGACAGTAAACGGCAAACCAAATATTGTTGGTTGGAGGCAATCGGTGGGAAGTCCTGGACATAGATTTCGTGCTTGGTCGCACTCATCAGCAAGGTGTATTTGCAACATTGACGGAACTGAAGTCCCGCCTGACATTTGAACCCACAGCACCCAGAGTTGTAGTCAGTGACATTACCAGTGAGTTATATGGGTCGCTTCCTGTCGACTATCTCCAACTGACTAACATCTACCAATGTGCATTGCGATGGTCAGCCTCCTAGCTTGGCGGCCACATAGCAAATATAAGTGACAGAATTCGGTTTGCACACAGGACTAGAAAACATGAAATTGGTTGCTCTCCCGTGATCATTTGATGTAAACCGAACACTCCTGTAAACCCAGTAAACGGATTCAAGTTTTGAAAGTCAAAATTAGTTTCTGACACTTTTGTCAGACGTTTCCGTTAAGTACATGCCTTTCTTTAAAAGTCACCTGTTGGAATAACACACTCTCTACTGAATTACGACATCAGTAGACTTATCTAATCAGATGAGTATTATATTAATGAAGTGTTTAAGATGCTAATCAAACAAGGAGTGACGCTAGATTGTACTACTCCTCTTAAAACGCATGCGCAATTTCATGTCTAGCGGATGAAATGGCATAAGCTGTTTCGCATAACTCGGTTACACCGATCACATAATAATAATTATTTGTCCCATGGGTTCCTAGTGGAACATAGGAATTCAGTAGCACGTCGCCATTGCACTCTCCTCTCTGCAGTCTTTTGAACCTGGCTGCACCACTGCCCATAAGCTTTCATTTCTTCCTCACACGATCTCCTCCATATCACCCTCGGACACCCAACTCCTCGTTTCCCATTTGGCTTCCACTCGAGGGTTTGGTCTGCCGCGTGTTGGGCTATGGGTTCGTGGTCCTTGCACCTTATTCTTTATGGCCATCTGATCTTAAGTTTCAGTATCGAGTGGGCGTACACGGCAGCTACTTATGAATGTCTGTAGTTTGTTGGATTTGCTTATCGTAACGCGCCAAGTCTGTCAACTATCACATAGAAGCACTGACTTATTTGACTGAATTAGTGTTGAAAATCCGGATCTCGTTCACGCTTTACGCTAAGTGCAAAGTAGTGGAGTGCAATAGATCTCCACACTGATTTCAAGTTAATGAAGACCTGTCTTGCTTTTCTGATACTGGCTTTGACGTCCTCATCCGTGTCTTCTTAAAGTCGCATATTTCTAACGGCAAGTAAACCTATTTCTATTTTTAAAGCTACCGAAGTAAATGCGTTGGTAATTTTCATCTCCAAAGTACCTCTGACTGACGAAATAAATGTGGAACCTTGCACACAGGAGCATCGACTCAAGTTTTCACACTTCACAGTAGTACACAAGGAACAGGTGGATAGAAAAGATTCATATCAAAGTACACAAAATTGTATGAGAGATTAAACTATCTAAAGATAACAAGTAGTGGAAGTATTCAGGCATTAGAAGACGTCAAAGAGTGAATACGCCTGCACTATTATCACCAAACTCCAGACACGTCACTAAGAGTTCTCGACATGACTCAGACCAACAGTAAGACTTTATTGACTGGTGCCGTCTTAGTTTGGTCACCCTGAACTTTCTTCCCATCTTAATCCAACTTCCAGTGACACAGCACATCAAGTTAGGCGGTGGTTCACCATGCGCATTACATGTCCAAACCATATCAGTCGACTAACGTTCGCAACCTCATCAGTCGACTTCCCTTCATTGCCTACTACCTTCCACCTGACCTCAACACTACTCACGTGGTGATTCTACCAAACACGAACAATACTAAAAACACACCCATGATCAAAACCCTGCAACCACATCATCTGTTTTACTTTCAACGTCCATGTCTCATAGTCGTATAACAGGAGAGAATGAACTGGAGTGCAGTATGCTCGTCGCTTAACAGGTAATTGGATAGTTATCCAGTCGGCGCCACAGATGACCCGAGTTGGCAAGTGCTAAACGAACCTTCTGTATGCGAGATGAGATTTTGTCAGGAACCAGTCCATTCAGGCTGATACAACTCCCGAAGTAAGTGAAGTGGTTGACACTGAATTTGGAGTGTTGCAAGATTAGCCGTGGAGTATCATCTTACATTTGACAGGTAGCAGTGAAACGCCTGTCAAATATGCTCAGATTTCTTCTCGATGCATTCAGATGACCCTGCATTTCATCACTGTCTTCATTTAATAGACAGGTCAATATGGTCTGCATAGTCGAAGTCAATCAGATGGCCTGTGTAGAGTAGGTCAATCCCTGTGAAGTCAGATGTGCATACAGTTATGTCCCTTAGTACGTCCATGACGAAGTTACGTCAGAACGGTGTCAGTTAGGATTAGAACTTTCCGTAAGCTTTTCTACGGCCATATGAGTTTGAGTAGAGAGCTTTGATTAGCGTTATAAACTTTCTCGGTACTCCTTTTACAGTCAGACACTGCCACAACACCTCATAGTCAACAGTTCTTAATTGATGTTCAACGAATGAAGTTCAACAACGAGAAGTCACAGGCGTAACTTTCGTGTCTATCAATACTCATCAGCGGTTCAGATATAATTATTACTATTTGAAAAACACAAAAAAAGAACAAGTACAAAAGAAACGCAGAAAACTAAGCAGAAAAGAAATAAATTCAGCTTTTGTTTTTTTACAAATAATGAATATAGTAACACGACCTGTAGTATCAAAGTCGTACAGATCCTTAAATGCATTTATAACATGTACACAGGTAGAAATGTTGTTTACAAAAAATTAAACACAGTAAGGCGAAAGAAGTGATAATTAAACTTTCTAAGAAAACAAGCTGGAAACACCAGTCAAACAATGATATATCACAGTACTATTTCATAGAAACTTTAAAGGATCACAACAAAATTTAACATAGATATGCAGATGATAAATGATTTAAGTGAAATTTGTTTTAAATTTATCTAAGGCAAAAATTTGTTGTATTGTATTCTCTACACAAAAGAAAAATACAAAATGAGATGAAGTCAACCAACTTTAGTGAATGGTAATTTACTTGGTTATAACTGGCTGTAAATTACTATAATTAACATCCAGGCAATATCGAGGCATCCTCATAAGAGCCCATATGCTAAGCAATAAAGGTGGAACAAATCGATCCAATAAAACAACGGAGAATTACAAGCATTTCTATTAAATAGTAATAACGAATACCCGTTGTACAAGAGGTGGGCCTAGTGGATGACGCCTTAGTGTTTGGTGCGATGGGCACGAGGTTCGAGTCTGAGTGAGAACAACATCACTCTACACTGGAGTGTAGGTATATCCTACTGACGAGTTCATAATAGGACGAAATGGGTATAACTGGGTTCTTCTACTAGCCACAACCAAGTTAATTACCATGAATAACGTTTAGGCAATATCGAGGCATCCTCATAAGAGCCTATATGTCAATAGAGGTGGAACAATTTGATCCAATAAAATAACAGAGAATTACAAGCATATCAGTAAATAATGACTTTCGTGAATGTTATGGAATTAATCGAGTGGTAACCTTTGAAAAGCTTAGCTGCAGGCCGTTCTTTATTTCCTATATTTTTTTTAAAAGGACTATTCACAGGCGATTCATTCTATGCACATAACTTTCAAATTGATATCACATAATGAATGTAATATGGTTAGTAAATGAAATGGAAGTATTCGTCATGGACTGATAAAGGTCATGGAATCATTGAGAACTATCTGGAAACTGTTCTGTCTTACTATGTAACTTCCTAGTGGTGCACATCCACAACTTCCATGAACTATCGACGTCAGTGTTATATCAGTTGAGAACGTGAATCTTCTCACTTAAGTGTCATTGGTTGTACTCATGACCTGACTGATGACATTACTATATAGCTCGGATCAAAAGCTTTTGATTGACTTCTTACTCATTTCTGTATGACCTATATTTCGGAAATAATTGCATGTTGAATGAGATCCATTCTAATGAATTATCTGATATTTTAAACGCCACTCTAGCAACTGATAAACACAGTCAATTAAATTCCTTTATTTTAGGGAGGAGTGCTTTTCCAGGTGAAACACCGAAGCCTAATTGGTCACTTCAGCAGTTGGTAGGATGTCCTTTGAAATCACTCGATATTTTATCCTTGAAATAAGCTGTTTCCTGTTCGTAAATCATGGTGCGTTGCGGCAAAAAAACTTGATAAAGATCGCCAAAAATATACGGACAATAAGTACAAAATTTCGTTTTCTGTTGCATACGCTTGGGAAGGTGAAATCTCAGGACTTATTCGGCTGACTTTAAAGGATACCTCCTACCAACTGCAAAACTAACCAATCAGATTTCAGAATTTTGATTGGGAAGGTAGTATTTCATAGATTGGAGGGACATAACTGATTATCTCAGCAGTTGCTAGGGTAGCCGCTAAAGTCACTCACTCATTATGTGGATGGATTGAGTATACGAGACCGATTACGTTTAAGGTCAGCGTGGTTAAGTCACTTGCAGACAAAGTTATAGCAAATTGGCGATAGAGATAACTGAGGAATATAACACCCAGGACTGTTACGTTCCGTGCAAAGTACACTAACATTAAGTCACTGGGTTCAGATCCAGTGAATGGTTCCTATATTTCTGTTCTAGTTAATTCGTGATATAGTGTAACCGTCCACGTCGGACGTGGCGTTGAATGATAACTCCACATAATTATCATAGACTGTCAAATGTTGGGATCTCAACCCTTTGCGCTTAATGGTAATGTGCTCGCCACGAGATTTGACAGTCTTAGGCTCGATTCGTCATGGGGTTGTAAGTGTGCACAACGGAGAAGTATCTTAGGTTTTCAATGGTTCTCTGACTAATGTCAGTCCATGATGAATACCACCTTGAAACCAACGGATCAACACAAACCACTAACTTCCAGATAAATTCACCACTTAGTCTTTAAATATATTGAAATAGCATCCGAGACTAACCGCTTACTGACCACTTCGTTTACTTCTTCCTAAGAATCTTTTGTACATGATTCTTTTTCATGTGTAGGCTGTTTGGTTAATCCCTTTACAACTAAGTCACTGTCAATTGAGAATAAAGCAGTAAATAGAACAATATCGCCTACCATATTATGAATATAATAGCTTGCTTGCATGAATGCGTTACTGACTAATTTAGATAATTGTATAGTCAGCAGACTTGGATTAGCGTTGAACACTACCGACTAGACAACTACATTCGCTAATCAATGACGACCAGCCTATGAACTTAATACAATCCTACTGAGAATGAGTCATGTTCTGAATATAATTTGGTGGTAGGGTCATTGACCTCACGTAATAATCATTGCGGAAAACTAGTTTCATCATAATTGGAGGTATGCGCCTTACTGATGATATGCGGACAGAGAGAAAAGTCTAGTCTGGAGAGGGACGGTGGATCACCCAATCAGTAGTATTATTTTAAACAGCAAATCATATATATATATATATATATATATATATATATATATATGAGATATATTTTCCTTTGTTTTTGTTATCGGTCTTTCGACTCCAATACACGTTTCTACACATCCATCGTGTCTTCTACATGAATTAGTCGGGTCGAGAATCAACTAGGAATTTGTTGAATGTTAGTGGCTGATATTCGACATCCGTGCATCGTTAGCAGCCATAGCGGTTTCCAAACCATAATAGTGGTGATGGAAATAGGATATTGGGAAATGGATTCTTCGAAGTTGGACAATTTCTTCCAATAACAAATGGGGATTGTCGAGATACTTACGCAATTCAGGATTTATGGTACTCAATCATCACTTGCTACACCAGTTGTAATGGCACCTTCACTTGATGACATCTCCAATAGTGTCAATGAATTTCACCACGATCCTGATGCCAGTGAGATTTTCGATAGCTGGTTCAGGCGTTACGAAGACTACTTCAAACTGGATTCTGTTGGTCAAGATAAATCATGGAAGTTACGTCTCCTACTTCGAAAGCTTGGTTCATCTGAGCTTCACCAATACTGCAACGTGATTTCACCGCAGAACCTACAAGATCGCACTTTCAATGCCACAGTCCAGACAATGAATGACCTTTCTGTAAAATATCAACCACTGAGCAACCTGCAGCGTGATACGAGTTTAGCCCAATCCGAAAGCCAGGGTGGTTCTGAAGTATATTTAGTTCACCAGACATCTCATTCCCCTACATCACCGTCTGGCCACACACACCCTGGCCTTATTTCACTGTTCATCGGCCAAGTAACTCATACGACACCAACCGACCCTCGGAGAGGTCACCCCTATCGCATTGTGGTACCTGGTATTTCGTCAAATCTTCACATAAATATTGATCCTGGGACTGTAATCCTGAGGGCCATAAGGACGGTTTTTGCAGTCAACACACAAAATCAAGTGTACAAGGGTCATTCTCCAGATACCTCCACAGATCCTACTCTCGATCGGTAGGTAAATCTCTCGGCTTGATGGCTGGTTTCCATGCTCATGCACCTGCCCACCGAAAGAATATTGAGAAGACTATTGATTCCCCAGTGAACAAGGAGAAACTCCCTCTGTGTCGGTCAGACAGATTCAAGAAAAAGACAGTGCGGCCCAGTCTGACTCCAAATAAGATTCTTTCGAAGGGGGAGGTGGTATGGAAATAGAGAGAAAAATGACTAGTCTGGAAAGGGCCCAATCAAGATGTACTTCCTCATCATCTACAGTTAGACAGACCGACAGGCGTACTATCTATATACATTTGATATATTTCCCTTTATTTTTGCCATCGATCTTTCGACTCCAATACACGTTTCTACACATCCATCGTGTCTTCTACATGAATTAGTCGGGTCGAGAATCAACTAGGAATTTGTTGAATGTTAGTGGCTGATATTCGACATCCGTGCATCGTTAGCGCCCAAAGCAGTTTCCGAATCATACCAGATGAGTGCCCACGAGTACGAAACTCGGGTCCATTTCATATTGCTAACCAACTCCTAAGGTCTAACACTGTGCTCGCGCTCTCTCTCTTTCTCTGCATCTATCTACCTATACACATCATTTTAACTCAGCCTGGCAGACTACTGTTCATACTGGGTGATGATTGAAGGTGAAATAAAAATTTGGACCGCAGCCGGATTCGAGGCAGAAACCACCGGGGTTACTGGCCCAGTGCTCTACTAACTGAGTTACGAGGCCCGATTGCTGACCAGATTTTTATTTCACTTCAGTCATCATGAGTTTTTCCCGACTATTATGTGAATTGGTGACGCGTTACTATCACATGATCATAATACAAACTGGCGGCCTAGTTAAGATTTCTCTGGTCAGCAGTCGGACCTCGTAGCTCAATTGGTAAGGCATCGGGCCGGAAACCCGGTGATCGCTGGTTCAAATCTGGCTGCGGTCCAAATCTTCATTTCACCTTCAATCATCACCCTATATATATATATATATATATATATATATATATATATATATATATATATATATATCGATTATACAAATGACTAATCGAATCAAGTAAGACAGGTTGAAACAGGAATAAAAATCCTCCTTTGTGTTAATCTACTTTCCAGTGATTAATTGTATGCAGTTTTGGCAGAAGGTAGTGCCAGTTGGTTTATACAGAAGACTGAAATTCATCATTTAAAGTGAACGATGGAATCAATGATATTTTGTTAGTTAAATTAGTTTAGCCTCTACTGTAAACTATCTTTTAAGCCAAAGATAGAGAATAAATAGATTAAAAATACTAGAATAAAAACAACTCATCTTCAAAATCAGTTTATCCTAAAAGCACCAGGAAATCTACACTAAAGATATTCTGTTCCTAGTTATCCATTGCTGATTCGATTGATATGATCGACTATTATCGGCGAATATGTGCACTTGTACGAATATCACTAGATCGTCAGTAACTTCAGTTTGACAGTAGTAATAGATTATAACTAACACCAGAATCTAAGATATGAGTTACACTAGTTGAATTCTAAGCTCAGTCACAATCCATCAAACTGAAATTACCATATGCCAATAGTGATACATCGATTCGGTGCAATAAACAAGCTAAAACAATAAACTATACTTGTTGCATAAAGGACAAACTGGCATAATTCATTGATGTAGTAAATTAAAATTCTGATGTCTGAAACAACTAATGTTGGTTGTCAGTTTCAATCAAAAGAATATCACTTACTGGAAGGCATGGTTATTCAACTGACAACTCCTGATTGTGGCGAAACGTACAACTTGGATTCCATTGGTAGCTACAATCTATCATCACTATACGATATCCTGTATTAATAAAGAGAATTTATCAAGTCTCCTTTCTCTTGAAGAGATTCTTTACCAGAACTTCATATTAGTGGATCACACGACGCTGGATCATCCCATTGCAGAAGTTATGACCTCTGATTAAAGTCTAATCTAGGTGAAATTTACGTCTTTATAGGTAAAAAAACAAAAACAAATCTATCCTTGTGTATAATATAAAATATGAAGTGAAGAATCAAAATGTCCATCAAAAAAATAAACATACCTTGATGTTTAGGAGAAGTAGCTGGTGTGATACAACTCTCACTACTAACAGATGAGTTTTTCGATGCTTTGCGATCCAAAAGTTTCTATATAAAAAAAAAAAGCGAATTTAAATAAGGTTGGTAAATTTGCAGAAAGTGTTTTTAAGTAGCAAGTACGTATAGGAAGATAACTTAACGAAATTCGATGAATACCATCTCTTGAAGTGATACCTTTGAAATGCTATTCTTCATCAAAAGAAATAAAAAATAAATTCTTTTTTGGAGCTTGTTTACGACTCATCTATGTGAGCTGATCGATTGAACTCAAACACAAATCTCTTTCACACCACCTCGAAATTCGTTGGCTATTTAGGCAAACTAATAATTGTCATAATCATCATCAAAGTAAGTCTGCGCAAAATTCATTTATAATAAGAATGACACACTTAGATAAAGTCTAGTTACCTTATGTCTATCAAGACGAAATATTTAAATCATACATTTTCGTCTTTACAACCCCGAAGAATGGCGTTAGATAATGTAGTAACAGCGATTTACAACTACTCGTATTATAAATCACTGATGCTTGTTAGCTGAATAGAAGTTGCTTGAATATGGTTGATACATAGTGTAGAATGAATACTATATAAGGGGACAATAACAGTTATACAATCGTTTGAAGTATTGTTTAGCATGAATTGGCTAGATTTACTAGATTGTGTGCTAATTTTTAGCGCCTTAGAACTTTCTTCTACATTAATCATACAAAATATAACAGATTTCATTTAAAATGTGCTCCAAATATGCTGATAAATACAAAGGCAGATAGATATCATTGTCCATAGGTCACAGGGCTGATCTCAAAACAACCTTTAGACCATTGTATAGGCACTGGCAGGACCATATGCTTACTTCCACTTTCGTAATTGATTTATTGGATTTGTCGCACAATGTAACGGTATTGTTCACTGGATAACGTTTCGGACATAATTCATTGTCCATAGTCATATCAAGATAACTACACAACTTTGAGATATCCTTTATATACTCAACGCAATCTAATTCACCTATAAATTAGAAAAATAGTGAAGGAGGATGAGTGATGTTGGATTGCAGAATAAAACGAAAATAAGATGGGAGTTTAGACACCAGTGTCTACAGAAAGCATTCACATCCAAACCGTTACTTAGACTTCAAATCGTCTCACCATATATATAAGTTAAAGTTGGCTTGGTGAAATGTCTAAGTAACGAGGCGAAGAAACATACTATTACAACAGAACATCTAAGACAAGAAACCAGATGCATAAAAGACACCTTACTCATCAACAATTACCCTCTCAAATTAATTGATACGCTTCTTAGGAATAGTAAGAAGAATCTCAGTAACACAGTTATTAATAGTAGTAATAATAGTGACAATAACAGCAACAATAATAGTAACAATAGTGTTGACAATGTTAATAATAGTAGTGGGAATATTGTGAAGAGAGAATTCAAAACATCTACAGTATTACCATACAAAAAAGGCACCTCAGAAACACTACGCAGAATTCTCCATACAGCTAGGAATAAAGTGACGTTTAAGCCTACAAACTCGCTTAGAAATAACCTTTGTAGTTTAAAAGATCCTATTGTCCAATTAGGCAGAATAACTTAGTTTACGAAATCCGAGGTCAAATACATAGGTGAAAGTAGTCGACCAGAGTCATTAGGCTATCTGAGTACAAAATCAAAATTGGTAGATCTTAATAAGGTAAGGAATTTAGAAAAATGCTCGGTCATAGCTATGAATGTGATCACATACAACCACACAATAGGATGGGATAGGGTGAAAATCCTTAAAACTAATATCGCCAGGTTGAAGGAGAGATTGATAACTGGAGATTTGATTATCGAATCAAGTGACATCTAATACATGCAACAGGAGTGACTCATGACAGTACTCATATCATACAGAGGGGTGAGGAAATTAGGATTATATAAAGGATATCTTAAAGTTGTGTAGTTATCTTGATATGATTATGGACAATGAATTATGTTCAAAACGTTATCCAGTAAACAATACTGTTACAGTGTGTGATACGTCGAATAAATCAACTAAGGGTAGAGTTATATTCTACCACACTTATGCAATACACTTCGGTTTGTTGAAGCGTTAAACATTCAGACCACTTTTGTATATTCAAAAACTATCAATCTTTACCATAAACTTGCTTTGGTAACTTTTATTATATTTTAATACCTTTCATATAAAAATGCCTTAACAAGAAAATGTGTGACCAGATTTTTCGAAATATACTACCCATCACACTTTTCAGCTAATCTCCATCATCATTAACGAGTCTAATTGTTTGAAAAATTTACTTTATCAAAATTGTTCATGTACTCAACGATTAACACATGGAAGTAATCATAATAAATAATTGTTAAATTAGAAATAATGATTCACTTCGTTTCCTATTGTGGTAAATAAGGAAGTAAAACTGATTTACATAGAATGCGTAATAATTTGAATCAATCTAGTTTAATGATACAATTTCACAAGATTTGTTAGCTAACTGAAAAATATTTTGTGGTCAAACAATCTCAAACTTTGATAAAGTATCATATATGCAAATCTATTTTGTAATGTAGTATTGCGATTATAACTAATTGATTGGACTGTGTATAGCGGTGTCGCTTGATGTGCCATGTTCTGGGGGAAGTTAGATTAGGTTGGAAAAGGGATCATGGTGACCAGAGCTCGCACCAGTCGATGAAGTCCCTGACAATTGGCCAGAGCCATATGTGAAGATGTAGACTGTCTGCTTGGGGTCGTCACGGAGAAAGGAAGCAGTGGTTGAGGATTCTTGGTGGCATCGCTGGAAGTCGGTGACAATAGCGTAGATGGATTCACTCCTTGACATCTTCTAAAGCTTGAATATATTCTCACTATCCGTTATCTTCAGATCGTTTAATCTCTCATACTACTTTATATACTTTAACATCACTTTGATTCTATTCACTTGCTCTTTGTGTACTACCGTGATGAGGTGTGGCAGCTTGAACTCATGCAACTGTGGGCAAGGTTCTGCAATTAATTTGTCAGACAGTCACAGGAGTACTTCTATGAATTCCCTTATTTTGACAAAAAAATGTTTGTATTCATCTTTTGTAATTCGGTTTATTCAACTGTAATTTGCTGAGTTTAAAGTTTTGTTTTACTTTCACTAATCTTGTTTTACTCTGCTCAAGGTCGGTTGTATAAGAAGTGATCATTGTTCTGTTTTTGATTTGGCTTTGCATAGTGTAATAAAACGGAGATTACCTCAGAAATGTTATATATTCATGCAATACACTTTGAACAATCTGATCATACATTAACTTGTCAAGGCATTTTATATGAAGGATAAAATAAATAAATCAAGGTAATACAAGATTTGGAAAATATAGAGATAATAAGGAGGAATAATATATTTTTCACACCTCTCTTTGCATCAAAATTAGATACAGATTACCAAGGAAGGTTTAAGATAAAGCCAAACTATTTTTAATACACAAACGGGATTTAAAATTTCGTATGGCTAAGGCTTCAATGAAATTAAGTATACGGTCTCGACGACTCCTATGCAATAGTCTAAAGGCTGTTTTAAGATGAATCGTGTGATATGTTTTTATAGTGTGTTTACCTTTGGAGGATGATGTCTATCTGCCACCTATATTTATCAGATTAGTTGAATGTAATTGTTTTTCTAACCATTTAGGAATATCCTTCACCACTCTCGACTCTATAGTTCGATTACTCCTCCAAAACGTATATGTCACCGTATACACCTGTAAATTGGTATACACAGAGGGATGTGACGTTATTATGTACATAGCGATGAGGTTTATTTTGAAGCATAGGTTTCGTCTTCTCTATAACACTGAGCTTGGCTGCATAGTATGTCTTTTTAAGAAGTGAATTAAACCTTCATATTTTTTGATTCCCTTTTATACGATAGCATGATGTAAATATACTGATTAGTTCGTACCGTTGAGACATTTTTATAACCATTGATGAACTTCAGAGGATATGCGTTTTTCATGAATACCTCTGATAAAAATTTGAATTCTTCTGTCAATGTTTTATTATGCTGAAACCTATAATGAAAACTATAACAGACATTACTGTAAAACACTGTCCTTGGTAGGAGATGTCTAAAGATTCAGTATGATATGCCTGAAAATGAATCCCAAAGGCGGATATCTGTCTAATTTTTATCATCGATATTATTATCAATCTTTGCTTGTTCATTCATCTTATACTTTCTCTTTTATTGAATCCAATACCACCCAATTTCAGTTCATTTCTTTCTACGTTCTTGTGAAACATAGCAACCTGAGTTGATGTGGTTCTGTGCAATATTCTACGCGTTCACTTATCTGGTCTCTGTCTATGCAATGAGATAAACTATTCTTACTGATGATGAAGCTTGAATATGTTCAACGAGTCAATAAAGAAAGATTTCGATGAACATCCTTGAAATTCCCAAAGAGACAGGCGAACAAAAAAAATAAATGACGCTAGGCGCTCGAGTGGGACCCAGAGGGGAAACGACCAGTTTGGCGTCCGATGATAACATGGAAGAGATCGTGTGGAGAAGAAATGACAGCTTATGGGCAGTCATGGAGTCAGGTTAAAAAGACTGAAGAGAAGAGAGTGAAATGGCGACGTGCTACTGAAGTTCTATGTTCGACTAGGAACCCAAGGGACAAATAATAATAATAATGAGATGGAACAAGAATAAGAAACTGGAATGAATCTTAGCATGGTTAATGATCTAAATTTTATTAGATATAAGATAGTGCGTTACTAACCTTGTATTTAGTTATTGTATTTAATGCTAAGGACTTTTCTTTTTCCAATAACTCAATCCGATCTTTCAGTATTCTAGTACATAGAAGACAAGAATGTAAGAAGAAGGTTGATTTACAAATCAGGTGAAGGAATGAAAGTAAATCACTGAAAAATATATTTGTAAAGCTGTATTGCACACGGACGGACATCGAATGGAGAGAACCACCGAAAACGTGATAGCACTGGACAGCCGTTTCATCCGAGTACACAACTAACTCATCAGCAGTACGTACTCATCACTTTGCCAAGGATCGAAATCAAAACCTTCAAATTTCACAGCGAATCCGTTAACCATTCACGAACAGGATCGGAGTTCAATGGTTCACAGTTTCCTAATTCTATCGAGTCGTGATATAAGGATATGTTCCACAGGTCAGACATGAAAAGTATCTTCAAGTTGTAAATCATAGAAGAGATGAGATCATTTAACACCTGTCGGACATCTGCTTGAGGCCCATTACATGCAGCCTTTTGTGCATGGTTGTTTTGAGCTTTTGTATTTTTGGGACCAGATGGTCGAAAAAGAAACAATAAATGAACCAACACCGCTGGCCCTGCAGACTGTGGGGTATGATGGAGTGTGTTATTTTTGGGGCCGACCTTTTCTAACCACCTCCCCCCTCCCACTGAGAAGGCAGCAACACCATGGCCTTGCTGATCATTCAAAGGAAACACCTTACTGCTGTCACATCCCATCGGGCTAGCAGCAGTATGATATCACCCTCAGACCCCTATCATAGTGTAGTAATTTACGCCGCAATGGTAACTGCTTTTCATCTAACCCCTATCCAGCGAACCTTTCTGGTATGGTAGGACCTCCTGGAAAAAAGTGTTCCACCAGTAAAGCTCATTGGGTCATTGTGATATGCAAGCCTAACCACTACGTCAAGGTGGCAGCTACCGTTTGGGTGACACATTATAAGTTAAACACTAGTGATAAAATAGGTAGTAGTAAAACAAAACGAAGCATTTTCCATACACAATTCGAGGACAGTAAACCTGAATAGCGATTACACTATAAGGCAACAGTTATTGTAGTACCAGAAACAATTTTCCCCGTCATAAAATTATGGTTAATTGCATAATTCCCTCCTACACCACATATAACCCGACTATTCAGCGATAACCACCTTCGATAGGAATGAACAAAGGCTAAGTCAACAATTTCTCTACTCCTCAGTACTGACTGATGCATACATATCAAATGTGTGAAAGCTTTTTACATCACATCAGTCAATACTCTGTAATCGAATGACGAAGATATTGAACTACAAATGCATATGTGATCGAATTCAGTGATACTACGTAACAAAATTCCGAGTAACTTACAACAATTCAATGTGTTGTTATGATATTTGTAATTTCCCGTTGCTATACGGGGTCGAATTGCTCGACCTCTGTTGGTAGATGGGTTCCTATATGAAGGCCTCGATACTACTAGATGTTCCTGATGTTTTTAACTTATCTTGATGAGTAGCAGCAGAATTCAGGACGCACATTTCTGCCAACAGAGGTCAAGCAATTCGACTCTGAATAGCAAGGGAGAAATATAAGTGTCAAACAGCAACTGATACCTGTTGCACAACAGATGGCTTTCGTATCACAGTAGCCTAGTGGGTAACGCTTTGATGTTTGAAGTGATCAATACTGGGTTTGAGTTCCATGGGAACAATGTCACTAACTGAGGTACAGGCTGGCTAGACTGAAGAGTCCTGGATTTTGCCCCTAGTCGTCACCAAGTTGAATACAACTATTTAATGTGATTTAAAATTGAAGGAATTAAGTAAAATATTATCAAGTTTTAGTTAACAATGTAATTAGTCCCAGGAATTGCTGATTTAAAATAGTTAACTTACTTGCTTTCAGTAATCAAAGTGTCAATATCTACAATCTTTCGTTCATCTCCACTTAAAATATAATTTAATTCATTGTTAAGTCTGTCACACTTGTTACGATAGATATCTCTTTCTGTTGTAATTTCCTGCTTTTCATCAAGACATCTGCTCAGTTCACGTTTCACCTCTGAAAGCTTTATGTTAAACAGAAAACAAAAATTATGTTTTATTCAATTAAATAATCTTTTAAATTTGATCATTTATAAAGCTTCTTCTAGAATTGCATTTAAAACTATCTAATGTACATGAAGCTTTAACTCAGTGTTCTAGAAACTTGATCTTAAATGATCAAATAACCGAATTAAACAAAATTACACCTAGTTTATACCATGTAAGCAAGCGCTGTTCACATGAATGCAAAGTTTGGGATAGAAGTAAACCTCTAAGTTATACAAATATATTCAGAGAACACCTATAGACAGCATGAAATGAAAACTTAGGAGGAAGCAATAACAAACTGATGTAACTATCTTAAATTGCTAACGAATTGCAAGCATTATCATCATCATCAAGAACAACATAAGGCCAGGCATTACCGCGTAACAGTCCAAGTTGCCGTACCTCATATCAGTACATCAAGACGGAGTACATCAGTAACAAGACAATAAGATGGAAGACAAAGAAGAAAAGAAAAATTGGTCGGAAAAAGAAGAAGTGGGAAGTGGCAAGAGAGAGAGAAAGAAAGAATGAGATGATGAGATTAAGTATAGCAACTAAGACGATGATAACATGTGTATGCATCTGAGCCATGTCACCTAGAGTCTCCGACCACTGGTTTCTCTTGTCCCGTGTACCCCAACAGGCTAGTCCGCATCGCCCTACATGGCTCAAACGAACAGTCAAGAACTTCATGCATTGATGGCATGTCTTAGTCTGCCGCCCCCCCCCCCCAAGAGCCTTTTTCCAGTCTGAACATACTTCGACCAACATTATGAGACGAGGCAGACGGTGGTTAGGCATATGTAATACATATCCTCCCAGCCATCTCAGTAGACGAAGATTCACGACCGCATCAGTTATCTTAGCTCTCTTGCCTATCTTGCTTCGTACAACTCTACTCTTCCCTCAAATAACGCTATGTGAGAGTAGAACATGGCTTAGGATATCGATAAACGGTCTACTTTTACAAAAGTATCATTGCACTAAAATAGGCCCAACACAAATAACCACCTGGAAAGTAAGATCCTCTAACTGTGTTACATAAGTTTGACGATCATCTCCCGAAACTTTAGGATCCGATCTTGAACGATTTTCCAATGAAACATCTCTAAGTTGTTTTCGCATTACTTTGATATCACCTTCTAGCTCTTCAATTTTCTCTTTTGAGCTCATTAATTCGCGTTCCAAGCCTTTGTTAGCCTCTCGACTTTCGACCAATAATGATGCAAGCTATAGCATGAAATTCTAGAATAAGGTGCATATAAATACCTGTTTGGTCGATAAATGTACCATATCAGGATTAGAATATTCATCATCATTGTCACAATCCGCAAGAGTTCGTTTAAGTATCTGGTATCGATTCATTACCTACAAGTATTAAAAATAGGTAAATAAACTACCTGTTCTGCCATCCTCTTAAATTCATTCTTTTCCTTTTGGCATTTCTCAAGTGAAGCATTTAAAATCGAAACAGCCTGAGTTTTGGCATCTAACTGCTGAACAGTTGCTGTCAGCTATTAAATATGGTAACACTGTCAGTATGTGTTGTTACAGCTTACATCAGTTTTCAAATTTTCCAACTCTAAATGCAATCGTTCTTCCAACTACAAAGTTAGCAATAATAGTTAAACCAAACGTTTGACCAACCATTTCCCAAGTAATAAGGATCACAATGTAATCGAAACATCCATATACATATCTAAAGCAAGAAAAACACCAAAACTTTAAGATTAAATGCACAAATACATGACATACGTAATACTATATTATTAACAGGATTAACTATTCTCATTCACAAAATATGCGTTGCTGCCACACACTAATTCACAGTCAGAAATTGTTTTGTGTAGTATAAAGACATGTGGGTCTGCTGGTTTGAATCCCTGGAAAATTGACTGTACTGCATCACCGAAATACAAAGTCCTACTAAGAAACTGACAAGAGCCTAGGCCACAATTCACCCTTGATGGTGAAATGTTATGAATAGTTGGAAAATTAGTTTACCTGGATGTAAACATAACCGATGAGATTTCCGACCAGATACTTGGAACCAGAGTGGGATATGATAGTCTGAACCGTCTTCGGAGGAATTATTTTTAATGTGAAAGTTTGGATGTAGAAAAGCTTCAGTAAAGATAATTCTCTTTTATGCCAGTGAAACCTGATCTCTTCAAACTGAGGATGTCTGGGGACTAAATTTGTTTGATCACCATCGTCTCCAAAAAGTCGTTCAAATCCGTTGGCAGAACCATTTACGATATCCCGAGGTGTGGTGGTATGTTTTAGTATGATGAAGACCGGTACTCACTAACTGATCTTGAAAAACTAACTTTGAGGGTTACAACATATGTCTTAATATCATCCCAACGATTTTCATACCGTTCACTATCTGTCAGACCTTGGATTGGTTGAAAGTGGAAACATGGTCAGGTTATGATGTCAAGCGGTGGGATAAAGGAAAGTTGTGTTGGCTTAGCATTTCCTGTATGATGTCCAAGATAATGACACCAAATAACTTGAAACTTAGATGTGGTTCTAAATCAAAACTAATGACGATTATGCTTCGGCTTCTTTTTAATCCCTTTTATCATCAGAAAATGGAAAGAAAGTAAGGAGTGGTTCTTCCTCAATTCAGTCTTAGTTTTATCCCTCTGGTCATGAGTAGCCTTAATCACCTTTTGGTTTATTGTAATCACTTATGACCTTCTTAGTTATCATTTCCCAGGCTGTTACGAAGTAACATAAATGAATAAATATAAATACAAATATGCTCCGGCGCTAGGTTGGACGTCATTCTAGTCAATCAGTCCTTACATTTCCAGCTCTTCTGCTAGCATTCAGTCACCTCTGGAGAGCTTCATTCATATAGAGCTCTCTTGGTTAACCTTCTTAACCCCCACTTGTCATGTTTAGTGATAATACATCCACACAGTTGCACTTTTGAAAATGTACGTCGATAACATTTTTGTAGTTTGTGGTGATGCTCATTCATACATAAAAATCACTCTAGTGTAAAAAATTCAACATTCCCATTCCTGGATGTGATACTAACAAGATTAGATATATCAATCAAGATGGATGTCCAAGAAACCGACACTGACTGAACAATTTATCAATTCCCAAAGCCATGTCCCTCTTCCATTAGAGAACAAAATCTTGTACTTCCGTTCTATTTGAAGATTCTGAAGATACATCGGATAGCAAACTAGAATTTCTACGTGACAATCAACTAGAAAATGGTTATCCATCTAGATTTATTGACTAACAAGAAAAAGTTACAAATATAAAAGTTAATAACTGTCGTCTCGAAGAAAAACTCTCTGCATGAACCTGAAATTCAAAGGCTACATTTTAACTGAGATCCTCAGATATCCCCTTTCAAGATCTTTTAGAAAAACATTGCGTGTAATCAGATTGAGAATTCCATTATCCATCAATGCGTTAAGAACATAAAACTGTTTTTGGTCACCTCAGTGTCCATCTATCAGTCTACTTGTTACTGTGAAGCAACGTAGATTTCTCGTATGGTGTCAAGTTTGTAAACGAATTTCGGGACTTTACCAAGTTTGGTTACCCACAGATAGAAGAAATGTCAACAATCCTATCCTTGAACCCCTCATCTCCGGACACCTGACTCACCTACTGATTCCATTAAAGTTATCTATAGAACCAATGTCAGCGGCGCATATGCATACACAAACTATCCTTATCCTAACCCATATACTTAGTCACATCATCCTCTCATTCCTCCCTCCTCTTTTACTACCTTCTACTCGCTCTGACCGATTTTTCTTTCCTTCTTCGTCTTCCGTTTGATTTCCTTGTTACTTGACGTGCTGAGATGGGGTGTGGCAATTTGAATCATTACGCAGTAATGCCTGGTCCTATGTTGATCTTCATAATGATTTATAGTCTAATTCCACGGTATTTCCACGACGACATCTATACAGCCATCTGAGTGGCGATTCACAACCTTAAACCTGACCTTCATTTTCAAAAGTATTACGTGCACTCGAAATCCTTACCACAGACACGGTAGTAATTCCCTTCTAACTTCAGGCACAACTTTTCATTCGAATTTTGCACACTGCAGCACTTACGTATTCCCAGTGATTAATGATAGATTCTTGCTTGTTTCTGATACTCACAAAAACGATTCTATGGCTTTGGTGAATAAGATCGCCAAAAGTTTACAAAAAGTTTCTGCAATACAAAGGTCTATTTACTCTGATAATTTTGTGCTTCTCCATAGAACAAAGTAGTAGTTCAGCTGTATCAAGCAGATCATATATGTGCATATCAATGAATCTAAACAGCTGCTTCCGGTCATAGAAAAGCTCAAAAGATATGCGCACTTCCACCAAAAGAAGCGAACATGTTGCAGTCCTAGTGAAACTTGCAGACAAAACAGGAAAACTGGGAACGTTTCCTCGTGAAATTTGATGGACGTGGAGGTGATAGATTCTTAGTTTGTTTGGACACTTGTTGACTGTCAAAGTGTTAAGTTATTACGAAACGATATCTCACCCATTGCAAACTAACGCTTCTTTCGAGTAAACACTCACATCTGAAAACCCTATAAGAATTTATCGCTGTTAAAAATGGACAGTTTTGAGTATCTTTAAACAGTTGCTGTTTTGAAGTCTACGCAGATGTAGTAATTTGAATGGTGAAATTATAGAAAACTGCTTGTTGAAGGATGCATTCGATTTTTAGTTTGTTCTCATACATTTTTCATAGTTGTAGATAAAACCATGAAGTTTACGAAAATGGCTATTTAATTGTTAAACTACAAGAAAGTTTGGCTACAGTACAAGTGAACAGATGTTGTTTTGGTTGATCCAATTTTTATTCATTTTGGATTTATGAAAACTACACAATAAATTCGCAGGTTCATATGCATGTTATTTCATAAAATGGTGCACGTCAGTCTATGAAAATGGTCCATTTAATATTGAGTAACCTTAAATTCTCAATGAAGTTAATTTACCAGAATTATTATGCTCAGTATAGCCATTAATATAAAAGTAAAACTTGTGCAATGTGGTAGAATGTAATTCCATTTTTATTGATAGATTTATCACACAGTGTAACAGTATTGTTTACTGGATTACGTTTTAGACATAATTTATTGTCCATAGTCATATCAAGATAACTACACAACCTTAAGATATCCTTTATATGGTCCTAATTTCCTTGCCTCTTTGTGAAATGGGTAGTAGGATTTTTCATGTGGAAGATGAAGAAAAGAAAATCCAGCCAAAAGAAATATAAAGCACTAAAAGAGAGGAAGCAAGAATGAGAAAATGGTGAGATTCAGTATAATGTTAAGATGAGGATGATGTATGTATACATTAGCGCCACTGACTTCGATTCTAACCCATGTTGCCTAGTCTTCAACCTCTGGTTTCTCTTATCCCATGGACCCCAGCCGACTAGTCTTCATCACCCCACATGACTCACACCAACCGTCAGACATACATTGGTGCTATGTTTTAGTCTGGCCGCCTCGAGCCTTTCTCCAGTCTGAACATAATTCGGCCAACTTGTGTGATAAGGCAGACGGCAACTAGGCATCTTGGTCGATGAAAGTTTACAACCGTGTCAACTGATTTACCTCTTCTCCCTAAAAGTTCTACACCTAACTTCTGCATTACTCACGTGGAGACACCACGGAATACGGCTTATACTTCGAAGGCAGCGATGCAGACTAGCCGGCTGAGGTCCGCAGGACAAGGGAAATCAGTGGTTCGAGACTCTAGGTGATGTGGCTCAGAACCGACGTAAGTGGCGCAAATGTATACATACATTATCCTCATCTTAACATTATACTGAATCTCACCATTCTCTCATTCTTGCTTCCTCTCTTTTAGTGCTTTATATTTCTTTTGGCTGGATTTTCTTTTCTTCATCTTCCACTTCACTACCTTTTTGCTTGTATTGATATGAGATGTGGCAACTCGGACCGTTATGCAGTAATCCCTGGTCCTATCTTGGTTTGGATAGATGGATTGCCTACTGTCCTTTTCAATGAGCATTGAGGATTGTATACATATTTACGTCTCGTTTCATCATACAGTACCTAATTCTTTCAAAATGAAAGTTTTTCGCATTCGATAAACTCTTAACATCAAACTACGATGTGAGTACAAAATTATTTTAATTTCACTCAACTGACAACACACATAGCAAATGCAAGGAAAATTCACTACGTTACTCAGGTTTTACTAAATTATGATCAAGCGAAACTATTTACGAGGCCAATTCTGAGAAAGTATTTCTGTGCCCAGAATTAGCATCACACTATAGACGAATCCCCCGTCACTACCATCATGGACCATCATATCGCTCCAATGCTAAAAGCGTGATCTAAGTGAAGGCTGTTTTAAATGCATAAACACTAACAGCCTCGGAAAACGGTGCGACTTTATCTAGTATCCCGTATCCTTTTACAAGCTTGTGGATACCAACTGATTTCTTAGGGCTAGCTCTTAGGTCTTGCGGAACGGTTCCAGGCATTTGGTGTCTTCCGATTCAGTAGGTCTACCCACTCACCTGCTGTAGCTCTAGTTACGACAACGGATGGTTAGGTGTTCATTAAATTTGTAGGGATTGTATAATTTGTCCAAGGACTATGGGTGCTCCAGGTGTCGTGCCGCCAGTCAGTTGTTCGAAATGGTTGTGAAAAGATAGAAGAAATTTTCGGCGAAATCAAGGGAGAGGATGTGAGGGGGAAGAACAGGAACAAGATGGAAGGAAGCGGAAGGGTAGGAGAAACCTAGGTAGATTCACGGGCTATAGAAGTGATGGGGAGAACCCCAATAAATAAGGAAATATCATAGAGTCAAAGGGTAGAGAATGGCCAGGTTAGGTTATAGTAGGGATAATGAGGGTGTAAGCGATGCAATTATCGTTGGGTGTACGGTAACCACAGGTGAAATTTCTGACAGAGACTTATAAGGCTGTGTCAAGCTCGTGATAATAGTGGCGGTACAAAAGAGTCGGCATAAGGTATTTTATGCCAGAATGATGTCCAATTTGTTGGTTGTATTAACGTAGTCCGTATCCCAACTGCACGAGAGCAAGCCGTATCAATGAGTAGCTGCCCAACGTCTTCTTTAAGCTGTCGACAGACGAGGCAGTAATCTCTGCAGACAATGCTTCCCAGCGGCCTCAAACTAGCAGAGAGAAAATATCTGAACGCACACAGACTTTCGCCCGTTGGTGTGAAATTATCTTCAAGTTATCATGAGGATTACCACAATGGCCTTTCGGTAAGATTCCACTGTTCGGGTGACTTAGATTACTTGGAGTTTTGCAGCCCATTATCAAGTCTCCATGTAACCTACGGTAGCTAAAAAAGCAGATAGCTAGATGTTTCAGCTTTCCCTCACAGGGATTCTGATGCATTCTTACAACACTCTGTCGGTCGCCTCTGAACTCTCTTCAGGTATGGTAGTGAAATCACGATGTGGACGTCATTACCAGGTCGCCAAAAGACAACGATGAAACTCAGACGGAAATACAACTCCCCCAGATTTTTTAAAGTATTCTCCATAAGACAATAGAAATTCTCACTTGCTTTGAAACGCAGTGAAGACATCAGAGCCGTTTAGCGACCCAGTCAGATATGACTGCGGAAATAATGCGGGTCAATGCATTCATTGGGAATGTTGGAATAATGCCGAAATGCGACACCTAAGCGGAGTTTTACAGACTCGCATAATTTACGCACTTGTAGGATAATTTAAGCGTACATGCGTTAACGCGTCTTTATTTACGCACATTTCTCACTCGAGTGATTCGGAAACTGAGTGGTTTTTAAAACATTGCTCTGATCGTTGACATCGACCAAACTATTCAATACAAAACCAACATAATTATGGAAATGCACTCCAATGAACACTAATAATTGTATGACAAGTGAAATAAAAAGCTTTTGGGTAACTTCACCACTACACACCTTTGTAGCGTTACGTTTACATTTGGTGTCCAGTCTCTAAAAAGTGAATATTTACAACACTTATAAATACGCACAAGTTTATTTCCTCATGCTTAAAAATTAGTTCCATAAGGGAACTTTTAATTTCTGTTAGATTACTACGCAGTTTATCCTTCCATCTATGCTCTCTAGCACTTATAGACCCAGCGATGAGTCTGGTGAAGTTATAGTATCAGACTTCTCCAGAAGCAATAGCCTAGTGTTCGATGGGCTACAACATTGGTACTGACCTTGATAGTCTAACTGGACTTGCTAAGCTGAAGGCACACGGCCAAGCATCCAGGCCGTTTGGGACTCTGTCGTGTTGCGTTTCACTGCTCGTAGCCGACCCTCTAGCCAGTTAGTTGGAACACATCGGAATCTTGGCTCGACCTCGCAAATATACCATTCCATCCGACTACGCTGTTGCGTTCTTCCTTGGTCTCGCGTTCGTGTTTATATAACAAGTACGAATAGTTAGTGATTGGCCTCTGCGTCCGTAAAGTTCACACCAGGAACAATTCTTAGGAGGTATGAACTCCAGGAGACATATCGTTTATCTGAGGACAGTAAGAAATCCTAAATGTTTGGATTCCCTGCAAGTGAACAGCTTTCCACATAGGGAGATAGTGGATAAGAGTGTTTTGGAAGCAGCAGCGGAGGTGCTACCGTGTAGCGAGACACGCTTCCCCCAAATCAATAGCCTAGGGTTCGACAGGATTCAACATTGATGCTGACCTTGATAATTTAATTGGACTCGCTAAGCTGAAGGCACACAGTCAAGCATCTAGGCCATCTGGCATGTCGATGAGTTGCGTTTCAATGCTCGCAATCGACCCTCTAACCAGCTAGTCGTAACGCATCGGCATGAACTCTCAAATACGCCATTCCAATCTCACTACGCTTTTGTGTTCTTCCTTGGGTATATTACAAGTACGAGTAATCACTGATCAGCCTCTAAGCTCGTACGAGGACGGCTGCTAAAATTCACCGCTGGTGTGGGAGTTGAGAGGGTTTTTACTGTGTGGAAGCGTTCAAACACATCAATATAACATTTTCTTGTGTCAGCTACAGGGAACCTGCTTTCTAACCGGGGTCCTAAGTATCTTGGTTCGCCTGAAGAAGACAATGCACAGTACACTTAGTTCGTTGACGCTGCTTATTCTCTAACACCAGTGGCTTTGAGTTCGACGATGTGCATACTTAATGTTGACCCTCCTTGTTTTAACAGGCTTCTATGCTGGGGACTCGCTGTAACGCCGTATAACTCGTTTTCACGCTATTTGTTGGTTACTTCTTTCAGGATGTAACCAGCCACTTCATGCATCTGGGCATGTTCGTATGAATAACCAAAAATACAGTTCCCATGCGTCCGGCCCACTGCTTCTTTTCATTGGTCTCACACACGTGGGTGGCCTGTTACCATGAAAAACAACTGCATTGCCACACACCCAAGGGAACCTGTTGTGAGCCCATTTTTTTCCTAACTTGTGACGTCACTTTTTACACATGACCCATATTTCCTCACTTTGTTGAGTCCCACATATGAGTGGTCAGGCCCCAACTTGTTCGTGTTAAACTGGCACTGCACTTAATCTGCTTCGCGTCATTATGCCTAGACTACGCAGGTACATGGTTTCTGTACGAAAATTGCGATTTCCAAGAAAACGTTCTCACATATAGCCTTCATCCCTCCTCTATCAACCTATAAGTTGAACGGGTGTGTTGGAGTACATACATATACATGCAAAGAGCATTTAAAACCTTGTGCATTCACTCGCAGGGATCCATTTCTTGATTACCTCATCCTTTCGCCGTGAATCACTACCGTCTGTCGAATACCTTTTACTGCTAAACCCAAGTACATTGTTTGAGCTAGCTGAGTCACCGACTCACGTTTCCCCCCTCTCTCTTCTCGTCTAGATTCCAGTCGTCATTGTAAATCATATTCTCCTATGTCCACCCCTGAGACAACGCACCTACGGGCCAGATAAAAACCTACTAACGGCTGGTTATTGTATGTATTTACTCCCGAATGCATGGAATAACTCGGCCACACGCGTACTCGCACCAGTCTGAGAAGCATTTGGCTGACGAACTTTCGATGACACCCCTCTCTCTATATTGTCTCCTTCGAAACCGAAGCAGCTGGTCCAGATATTTTAGTTAACAGTGATTGATGGTCTGGCAGGTGTGACTAACTAAATACTGAAGGTCTATTGTAGACATACTAACTATGTGCAGTCTGCTAACAAACAATTAGCATGTCATGATTCTGAAATAACGGCGCTCTCCATCCGTCTTAGGCAGCTTCCGCAAACCCAGAGCATTAAATCAAGCAGCATAACGCGGACTACCTGCCGTTCATCCACTCCCACAGTTCATATGGCTTGTCGACAGCTGAATCTTGCAGATACTAAAACGCTGGTTGTTAATAGCTGCGAAACTTTTGTCATAACCATTCGCGAATTTGTCGAAAACCAAGTGTCTTCAACCAAGACTTCACTCAGTCGGGATACCCCTCACCATAGATGGGGAAGGCGGCTCCTTTTAGGATGTCACGAATATTGAAACCAAAGCTTGCTACCTACTGAACACTGGTGCAGACATCGGCATCCTTCCTGCAGCCGCAAATCAACCCCGTCCTTTCTTTGTTCTGCAGGCGACTAACGGGAAACTGACTGCAACTTTTAGAAAGAGGTATGCCTATCTCAGCTTCTGTTTGCACCTTGGATTTTCTTTTTATTTGATGCATCGCTGAACATCAGTGATATTTATTCGCCAAATGATGACCACCTGCTCACAGGTGCCCGTTGATGGTAAGTGACAGGTAACAAGAAACTCTTTTGGCTTAACTTCCTACGTAGGCCTTGGTTTAGCCTTAGAAAGAGACACTCGGTTGACCCAACCTTCAAGGCAGTGATACATCCATGACATGCAGCGTTATACATAACATCACAACCAAAGGACTGCCAGTTGCGCCCAAGGCGTAAAACCCAGCTCATGGCAAGTTAGGGGTGGAAAATATTGAAATCGAACAAGCGATCGAAATCGGCATCTTGTAACATCGGGATTGTCCGTCCCCAACAGATATCTAGAAAACAACCACCACTCCACGAATTAAATTGACTGCCTTCTTTTGGGCCCTCAAAATGCGGCTCGAACATTCGCGCTCTTCATGAAAGGCGACTCCTGTGTTTACGATTTAGTCCGCACTCACACTAATGGCTGTTCCAGAATGGGCTTGGATGAGCAGAACCACCTTATGCCGTTCGACCTTGCATCTGACAGAGTGAAAGAGCTTAGCGTAAAGGTGACTCTCCGAAAGTGACAAACAGGTGTCTAATCACTCGCTTTGGCCAAGCACACTTTTGACCATAAAGGCATGCGCCAGTTGGAAGATCAGGTGTTGGCTGCTTTAGATTACCTGCCACCAAACAATGCGGGACCACTTCGGATTTCCAACAGCCTGATGGCTTTTTTCTTACCCTTTTGCCGCAAACTGTGCTCCTCTCACGAACTCGCTGACGGGCCTGGTTTACAGGGAAGCAAGGTGTCTGAGTCTGGACGCTGTTACTAAACTTTTCTTCTCAAAGGTGAAGGAAACCGTAGAGAACGCGAATATGCACGTATACCATGAAGCCGATTGTCGCTTTGGTGACTCCTTCAATGCGTCTCGCTCAACAACCGAAGCCGGATTGCAACAGGTAATGCAGAACCAGTGATCTCCTCGTGGGGGCAATCGCAACTGCCAGGAACGTGGTATTATGCTTCTGGTAGAAAATCCCTAGCTCCGTGCTTTTCCATTTATTATTTTTGATGTTCCATTGAAAGTTAGGGTTTTGCCTTTTTCGTAGACCAGAAACGGCCTACCTGATCAGTCGTCTCAGCAACCCATAAACCGTTCCTTCGTGGGTCATGAAACTCGGCAAACGTTCCCCGGCCCACCTCCCGGAATCCACCACATGGCTGAAGCAAATCACTTCGATACACTGTCTCGAATCTCCTTGATAAACCATGTTAAAGATATTGACCCTGTTGAATTGGCTGGCCCTCAGAAACATCCCGAGCTTCGTCATGGGTTTTCGCTCACAACACTGAAACTACAGCTGCATCCGGCAGGCTCAAGTGTCAATGCAATTTTGTGCAGCTGTCTGCCAGCCACCTACGCCCGATAACGCCTGACAGATGTCGACAGAAGGCCTTTCGTGCCTGACACACTATCTAATCCACGATTACCGCTCTTGTCTTCATGGAAGCATGGCCAGTGAGTTTTGATGGATCTTGGTGAAACGGTTTACGCAGGTTGGAAGTCGAGCTAGTCGAACTCGTGGATCGTTTTATACTTTAACCAAACATCCGGTTTAAATGAGGTTGCAAACAGCTCCCCATCATCTGCGAGGAACGTCTTCATAGACAGCTGGAACAGTTATGGCCATAAACACACCGTAGTGGGCCAGAACGGTGACTATAGTCTCGGTGGGTGTCTACAATGCGTGGAAAGCTGATGGTGGATGAATTTAAGGCGAACTTATCTGCACAACTAACTTTACGAAACCAAGTAGATCGGTCTAACTATTTCCACTGGTTGTCAGTAGAACCTCCCACACCATTCGATTTACCAATGAGATGGACTCGGTTTATCCTATCCCTATTTTAACTCAAACGGTTGCTGTTTTCGCCCACGCCACTTTGCAAATACATAGTGCTGTTCGTCCAGTGCAATACCATTAGCCGACCACTTGAGCCACTTTTTGCACGGCCGTCCGGGGCCAGCAAGTGACGTTATAACTTTTATTTAATCACCCGCAACAAGGGTAAATATACTCTCAGCATTATTCATCTGAGACCAACTTTTTTCCTGGGCAGTCCCACAGTGATGTTTTCCCTCAAAGAGGAAAACTGGTTCAGCAACCTGCGATTATCGAAAATCTTGCCAACCCATCTAGCATTGCATCAGCTCCAGCACGGCAGGGCCCGTGGTCGTGTTGAATCGTCGGTTTTAGTTATGGGAATGTGACAACCTCTTATCCTGG